TGTTTTGTCTCACTTAATCTTAGTAAATAAGTTTTATTAAATAGCAACATTTTTTTGCTCACTCTACCTATTTGGTTTGAATTGACAGCTATGATGTCAAAATATAGCGCCCAGTAGGTCCTATTCTTAGTTGAATCGCATTATAGGGTTGGCAACCCTAGTTGTCTGATCCAAAGAACTTTATTTCTCTCTGTCAGCACCGCACGAATTTATGAAAAGAAACGATAGATAAATAGGTAATATTTGTCGGCGAGTAAGGTTGTCTTGTCATGGCACCACGGGGTAGGGGCAGGGGAAAAACTTAACAGGGTAAGTATCACGCATAAAAAACACCTTTATCGTTGCAGGTGTTTCATCATCAGCCTATTAATGTCCCTACTGCTTATAATATAATAAAGAATAAATATTTCCAACACCCACACCAATTAGCCTCGCCCCAAAGTAAGCACTATAAGGCTTGTGCTATGGGATACTAGGGTAACGGATAGAATAAATATACTGTACATTTATAAGTATATTTTTATAGAAATACATATTAAACATCCATGACTGGAGTACAAATGCTCGTGTATTCATCACACAAACATCTGCCCCCCCCGGGATTCGAACCCGTGACCTCTCGAGTCGGCGACACCATGAAACCCGGCGTACGAACCACTCGGCCACGGAGGTCGTCAAACTTGGGCACAGGCTTTCCCTATGGATGGAATAAGGAGACTGGGCCGTCGCCCACCACGCAGGCCCAGTGCGGATTGGTGGGTGATAACGACTGCACATGCTCGCGATGCTCTGCAGAAGCTCGAGATGCTCTGCAGGAGCTCGAGATAACAAATTTTTGGTCACCCATCCAATGACTGACCGTTACGAAAGCTGCTATTCTGTCTATTCTATTGTAAGCAATATACAAGATAGGATGGGGGGAGAGATATCTTTAGGTAAATTAATAATTTTAATATTTTTCTCATACTATTTAACAGGTACCTATATTTGAAAATAAGCAAAAAATATAATTATTAACACATTGTTCATGAATACAGTTACCAAAAAAATACTTGAGCATTCGAATGTCATTAAACTCTTTAAAAAAAGGCAATAATAACAAACAATGCGAGTGTGAATTCTAAAGTTTCTTGGAGTATTTTGTACCAAATGTTTCTCGGCAAGCTTTCTTTGTCTAAATAGTATTACCACCAAATTTCTTACTTTACCTATGCCCGAGTTCAAGTCTAAAAACTTTTTATTAATTGCTTAGTTTATATGACACTTTATAAAACACAAAGGTATACTTAAGCAATTTTATACTCTTTGAAATAAAAATCGTGGACGAAGGAAATAGCTATAATTAGGCTTATTAAAAATCTATAGTTAAATTTTGGCAAATGGTTTTTTTTTATATAATAAATTAAAATTTTACTTTCGATGAAATATTAAAAAGATATGATGAATAAATTTTATTATAGAAAAAAAACCATTTGCCAAAATTTAACTATAGATTTTTTAAATTTATTTATCAAATATAATTTTACACTGTTTTTCTATACTTTTTTATTTCGCCAAACTGATTAACAGTTGATTGGCGAAAAATGCACTCATTTTTAATCAGACAACAATTTGAAAAAACAATGCAGGAATATATTTTTATCTAATTTAGTTTCAATTTTAATTAGATTAGATGAAACAACGTGGCCTAGTCTGGTCTAGTACCCATTGGACCCTCAAGATTCGACCCAAATGCAAAAAGTGCCCATTGGACCTCTTTTTTGGTGTCCATTGGACCTTCTTAAAACATTTTATATTCAATGTGCCCATTGGACCTCATTTTTGGTGCCCATTGGACCTCCTTAAAAAAATTATATTCAATGTGCCCATTGGACCTCTTTTTAAGTGCTCATTATTATACCAAGATTATACCCTACTGCCAGTTGGACCTTATTAACAGTTTTGTTAAGCACAGTACAGTCATGTAGAAAATTGTAGACAAAAATAAAATTAATAGTAGGTATTATAAAGCCACTAACTAAATACTGTATAAGTACTGACTCCAAACAGTAAGTAGTCCAAAATAAATTATAAGAAATCAGGTTACCTTTTTTCTTCGAATTAACGATATTTCACCGTCCCCGGAGAATAAAAAGATAACTATAATTATAAAAATGTAAGTTTTCAGGAAAAATAAAATAACTGTTTTGTTGTCTATTGCTCTATAAATACTGGACGCAGACAGATGATAATTTTTAACACATTTGGATTTTTTAGTAAGGTACTCGTACAATAAGATATAAGAGAGATATTTAGAAAATAAAAAGTGAATCAAAAGTAATCAAAATTTAATTTGTTTAATGTTTATTTTTATTTTATTCGTATTGACAAGGAGCCAAAACCAAATATTGCACTACTGACATGTATTTTTATTCTATGGTTTATAAGGGTGCAAGTGACAATGATAATACTTCAATATCTTTTTATTTTCGTAAATATTGTAAACCTTTTTTCTTTAAAGGACATTATATATGTTTGTGCTTTAGGTTTAAAGGAATGATCATTAATTATATTAATTTTAAATTTAATTACATTAATGATCACTAATGTAAAAAGGTTTCACTCAATAAGGCGATTGTACACTGACCAATAAATACCCTTACAGCGCAACACCAAATCCACAAGACCTTTCAAATCGAACAAAGTTCGATTGATTCAAAGTTCCTTAAAACAGCGTGGATCTAGACAATCTAAGCAACATGACAGTGGATTTTGCAAAGACTTCATCTTTTGATCTAAGACTGAAATTCTGAGGGAGATTGAATGTTTTTATCGGCAGTTATACTCCTCTTAAGCACCTGATGCAAGGAAGGTTATAGATTCCAAGCCCAAGATCTCTGCGCTTAAACAAAAGGATGGCGCCGATCTCATATGTGGAAGAGAGAGAGAAATATTGCTGTCTCGTCCCGATTTATGACATATGTTGCAGCTAGAAAATAATCTTACAACCGTAGGCCATTGCTTAGAAAAATTACTCATATATGTGTCTTAAATATTTAATTTGGTAATTTATAATGTTTTACAAAAGAAGACTGTTAAGGTTGGTAGTGGGTCTTTCGGCAGACTCCAAGTTTTTATGAGATGCAGCGCACTTAATTGTGAATTGTTTGACAAAAAACTAGAACTTTATTTTATCCCGGTTTTTTATATTAAAATAACATAAATCTATCTAATAATTGAATTGCAAATGGCAAGTTTATTTGTCTATTTTTTGTTGCCAAGCATCAAATATATTATGTTCAATGTGTAACAAAAGCAGTGATAATAATTCTGATAATAATCCATGACTGGACTGATTGACATTTGCCATAGTGATGAGTTAACGTTATAAGCCACCACGCACTAAAAATATAACGTTACTAAGATAGGGTGGCCAGCATACTTACAGAATTGTTTAATTATTAAACACGATTTTAAATTAATCGGTAATGAATAAAAAAATCAAAGTATCTATTCGTGTTATACAAACTTTCAAATTATATATATTTCGTTCCTGCCGGAAACCGATTACCGTTAATTTATATAAGCTATTTAGTTAAAAAATAATTTCTATTGGCTTTAAAAGTAAAGTAAAAAATCTGTGATTTGATTATTATATTTTATGTAAATATTTATATTGGTTTGTTACTGATGATTAGTGTTTTGAATTTTATAAATATGTTGATTAAATACTTAGATTTTAACCTTTGTGTTTTTATGTCTTTTACAATTTTACTTTCCTACACAACTGTACTTTACCGTTCCAAAAGAATTAGCCAAATAGTTAAGAGCTCCAATAGCTCCCATTGTGTCGTTAAGTACGTCTTTGAGGGTCCAATGGGCACCATGTTCTTGATAGGAGGTCGAACGGGCACTTTTTTGTAGGTAAGGTCCAATTAGGAGGGTCCAATGGGTACTAGACCCCTAGTCTACGCAGACGAAATAGCAAACAAAACTAGTTAATAGGAGCTATTAAATTATAGTAAGTAATTAGTTAAGTTCACCAAAAAGATCAAAACGACATCTACCACACCTCTACGGAGATAATTATACCTACTAGAAAGTGAATTCCTAAGACTATTTCAAACTAAACTTTTCAACGTAGGAAATACTTAAATGACTTACTTATTAAAAACAACCAGTCAACTAAAATAAATCTAAAGAAGCGATACTGTTATACAAATTTATTCAAGCTGCCTTAAAAAATAGATAAGTTAATTTTGTATAGTATGTAGTTATGAACATTCTTAGACATAAATTATAGGGGTGACATATCTACGGACAAAACCCCTAATTTATTATTGTACAGTAAAGATGAAAAAAAAAACTAAAATAAATTATTCTAATAAAATCAAATCTCAAAGAGACAGAACCTACCAGTTCCGAAAAATCTTATTATCAGCTGAATTTATAATTAAGCGAATTATCAGTTACGTCGAGAATTTTAGTTCAATAAAATGATTTTTTAAATTAAATATATTGTATAAGTAATAGATGAATGATTGGTCGCTGAAGCGAGACCAATCATTTATCTATGGTATTAGTACTCTTTGAATACAATCGCATAAAATTATATATCTATGATCGCATAAGTGACACAATGAACGACGCGCAATTTGACGCACACGTTCGCTGGAAAGTCGACAAAATAAAAGCCAGAGACTGTTCCAAACGAAATATTTAGAATCTAGCAAGGGAAAAACAAATTCAATAACAATAAAATTGATTTGACTGAACTTAAATGCTCGTCGCGGCAACGGTTGGCGCGACACGCACGACGCAGCCGACGCACGGCAAGGCAAAATTGTCGGGGCTTCGCTGCGATGACGTAGAAGCTCATTCCACAAGCGCACCTACTTCTAAGTAGGTGTAGGGCGCCCGACTCGACAAGAACACGACACGGTCGCAGGGGGCGTGTCGCGCTTGCGACCAATCGGAATCGCGTTTGCGTGCGCACAACGCGACCCGACTCAGTCGCGTGGCGCAGCTCTGCGGAGATAGTGTATTGGTGTTTTGTGTCGCTCTAGATTGCTTACACATAATCCTAAAATGTCAGACGATTCTTTCTTCAACCCTCCCGTCTTGATAGAAGAGGTAAAGAGACGTCCCGCTCTGTATACCACGGACCAGCCAGTGGACAGAGAAGAGAGGTTGATGTTGTGGAAGGAAATAGGCGCTGCCATATACCCTGAATGGGACAGTTACAACAAGGCCACAGCTTATGATAAAGGTAAATAAATATTCGTGAACTAGCGCTGCCAAACGTTAACGTTCTACCTACATGATAGGTTATTATTAGAGTTGCATTTTCTAATTCGTTTCGATTATTCCATTTCGAAACTCCGCTCATTAATTAAATTATTATATATTGCCCAACCTAGTACCAGTCTTATGTAGGTAGTTAATAACAATGTTTATCTAAAAAAATAATTCTTTCCTTTTTGGATATTATTTTTTCAATTATTATTAATTGGTCGAGCAATCTCGTCTTGTCCAGTCCAGACGGTCTGGAGGCACCTCTGACTTTATTTTTCGAAGATCTAAATCGATAAATAATATCATGAATATAAAATTTACATATCACCATTACAAGCTTGTAATGTCAATAAAATTCCTTGTGAGGTTGGCAGAATACAATACAATATTTTTATTTCATCTCAGACAATACAATACAAAACACTTTATTGTACACCACAGAAAACATTACAAAATTAATACAGAGCCATTTCAATGTGTAACAATAGGCATCCTTATCGTTAAGAGCGACAACAACAACTTCCAGACAACCTTTTTGAGAAACTTTAAAATGTTTTAGGTTCATTTATCTTTAGACAAAAAGAACCTCTATTAGGAAAAATAACCATGAATGGAAAACCCAGAAGACAAGCCAGACCAAAGACTAAGCGACCACGAGAGCCAAATGACGTCACACTTACGAGCCGGCCCGACAGCATCGTGCTTGTCGTGGCGTTATCGTAAATACAATGCGCTCTTGTTGTGACCTTTGTGATTTAGTGTATTTGCTGGTGTTGTTTCGAGTCATTTAATTAGTAAATGGTTTGATTATTCTAATTAGAGAGGACGCAATTTGTGAGTCGAGTAAAAGTTAACGAGTCATTGCTAATCGGGTGGGTCTGCGTTAGTACTTATATAGATTACCAAAGTATGTATGGTACGTTAGTACAAGTTTTATCTCTTGATTAAAGTTGCCATGAATAGCCATGTGAAGTGACGGCAGGACACCATTTTTACAGCATTTGAATTCTGGACGCACCATGGATGCACATCCGCTATTTCTGATAGTTTTAGTTTTGTAATTTGTCGCTGAATGCTTTTTTAATGATTCCACTAAATCTTAAAACGTCTAATTCGCCTAATTTATTATAATAGTGGCAAGAAAAAGATTCCCTGACCGTATAATAAGCAGGGTACAATAAGCCAGCGATCTTTGGCTTGGGAGGTACTTAACCGATTCACACAATTTAAAGAATCCTTTGAAATAGAAAGAACAATGTGGACCAAAAAAATATTCGTGTAACAAAAAAAGTTGCAAAGAATTATTACAAGAGTTCTGTTTCTTTATTTATTTATATTGTGGGCTTTGTATAGAGTTTAAACCAACTTTTTTACCATCCCAGCTCAATTGACAACCGCTTGGTGACAGAAGTGCTTTTGCGTTCCGATTCAAAGGTGAAAGCTGGGTTCGTATCCCAGCACCGGCAGGATTATTCGTGTGAAGAGCGTCATGATCACAACACTAATGTAACCTAGTGTGAATCCAAAAGCCCAAGGCGACTCGCTTTCTCGCAAAAATCCTATTTTTGTTTCAGTAAGACAGAGAAAATATGTTATCGCCATTGTTTAATTAATCGCGTTTTCGAAAAATCACTAGAAATGTCCCGAAAATTAGATTTATCGAATCATCCTACGATATATATACATATATTTTTTATTGCGAGGTAGGCAAATCACTGTATCCCACCTGATGTTAAATGGTGATAAAGTCCAAACGCGAAGATAGCTGGTACAGCAGTTATAAACTGCTACACATGCCATCCTAACCTTGCTGGCCTGCAAAAATGCTTCTTCACGCCTCTCTTAAAGGACCCCAGATTGCAGGAAGATTCAAATGATACATTCAACCGACAAGACCGAGCGTTAGGAAACAGGGGACGTCGATGACATCAGTTAGGGCAGGATGAACTAGCGGTCGAATAGATATTATGCTTCGCTGCTCAATTCTCGCGATTAATTCACATACAGGGAGGGTTCCAATTACAGCACTAGAGCGCATTATGCGGCATAATGCTTAACGTTGAATGTTACACCTACAGCAACGCTTCGCACAATCGAGCACTCTCAAAAGTAATGTTTTCGTGTGATGCGTGCAATCGTACCAACTCAGTGACAGAAAATTAACAAGTGTTTTTTCTTTAAGTTGGCATTGATCGAAATGGTTTACTTATATATTATCGTTCGTAATATTCAGTATCACTATCTTTATCAGCCTTTGGGTTCATCTTCGAACATAGGGCTCCTCTTCAATTATTATATTTAACAAAATGATAAATTGTCACTGTGATAACAAAACATTTTTTTGAATAGGGGGGTAACCCTACGGTTTTTACAATAGACATTTGAAATCGGGGCAAAATGTCGCACGTAACATTTCGTTTGGATATAAAACGGGGGTGAGTCAGTCATGCGTCAAAATCGCGGGCGCCGGGACCTCATCCCGGGCCCCGGAGGATATCGCCTGGCGGGGAAAGGGAGAATTACGTTTCTTCGTACCGTACCTAGTACGTAACGTAGATAGTCTTGTTGCTACGGGGGCGCGGCGAGATCTCTAGGGAAATAAATAGTACACACGGCAAACGGGGATAATAAAGAAATTCGCGCAGACATTAACGTCATATTAGGTTAAAGGAATAGGAAGTCGATACCCGTGGCCTAATTGCATTAATTTTTTAATTTTTTTCGGTTTTCGCAACTACCTTTCAGTCGAATTATTGGAAAATAGTAGTAACTGTCATATTGACACTTCTTTTGCTTTGAAGGGGATCTCGAAGAGAATAAAGTTTAACATGTGCCTGGATGGTGTCAATGTAAAAAAACAGCCAAGAGCGAGTCACAGACTCGTATTTATCCGGTTGCGTACCACTGTACGAATTCAATGAAAATGACAGATCGTCAACTTTCACCATGTTGTTACTTATTACACTTAGCTCGATACGCACTATTGAGCTCCTCTTGAAGAGGTGGTTAGCGCGTTCGGCTGCGATCGTTGAAGTTAAGCAACTTTCGCAGTGGTCGGTCATTGGATGGGTGACCAAAAATTTACAATCTCGAACTCCTCCGTGCTTCGGAAGGCTCGTTAAGCCGTTGGTCCCGGCTGTATCTGCAGTCGTTAGCACCCACCAACCCGCACTGGGCCCGCGTGGTGGGTCATGGCTCAATCTCCCTATTCCATCCATAGGGAAGGCCTGTGCACCAGCAGTGGGGACATTAATAGGCTGATGATGATTGTGTACGTTTTCACCGTCATGTTTTATGTCCTGTGAAGTGTGTTGTATGTCAATAAAGATTTTTTGTTGGCAGTGCTTCAGTTGCAAAAGAAATGGCGGTCCTTGCGCGACGCCTATAACAGAGAGTTGCGCGCGCGCCAGACGGGCGATCGCCGCGGCCGCCACAAGGTCTACAAGTATTTCAAGAGGATGAGCTTTCTCGGCGGATTCAATGGATCCGTCAGCGAAGAGTAAGTGCATTTAATCGAAAAGGAAGTTCAATCTATATTCCTATTGTAAAGAGAGAAGATTTATATATTTGTATGTTTGTAACAGAAAAGCTCCAAAACTACTATTCATAAATAAATATTTCCCACAATCACAACAATGAGCCTAGCCCCACACACACACTTTTCTGCCGCATTAGCTGTTCTCTCAACTGGACTTTTATTACACCTAACATCAGATGGGTGTGGTATTGAATTAAAATGTTAACCACTGGAGTGACACTTTTTTGACGGTCCCTTTCACCAAGTACTAAGGCGCTAGTAACGGCATTAATGACCAATTCTTTCGTTCTAGGGACGACCATAACATGGCAGACAGTCACAGCAATAATGAGGACGCTATCATTTTGCTGGAGCGCGAGGACACGCCTGAGCCACCGAGACCTAGAAAGACCAGGAAGAGACAGCAGAGAACACGCTCCTCTGACATACCAGCACCAGAAGAAATGGAGCTGCCTCTGTTCTCATTGGAAGCGCCCAATGACAACGACGACAGCGACAAACTGTTCATGTTGTCCTTCTTACCCGAGATGAGGCAACTGCCCAGCAACCTGAAGATGTGGGTGAGAGCGCAGATAGCAAACGCTATGCAGGAAGCAGTGTCGTGCCATTACAATAACACGCAACCCAGTTTGTGTATGTCCAGCGATAAGAACGGGCAAGATATAAAAAGGCAACGATACGACAGTGGTGATGATTAGAAATTTAGTTGAAAATTTGCTCGAAGGACCATATATGTATATAAGTTAAGTTTTCTCATAGCTGTGATTTTAGTTGTTGAAATAAATAATAGAGTATTGTTATGCACTTCTTTTTTATTTTTGAAATCATTCACAATGCGCCTGTTTATAATCCAATAGGCAATAATTATGATCATTTAATAATATATCCAATGATTCATTTATGTAAGGTAAAGTTTCGGCCAATAGGCGACCATTTCATTATAATTCTATACCCACTCAATATATGTGGTAAACTTGATTTTTTATTAATAATCATCTTTGCTGATATGTCTAAGTCACGCATTTCAGATTCGCTCGCAAAATAGAACATATCTACGCAGATTTTTCGCATAGGCAAGGCATACGTGACGTGCCCCGCCCAGGGGGCCATTCGACTAACGGAAATGCTTTGGAAAACGCTAACGCTTTCGATTTTATTTTGTTATTTCTGACCGCCGACGGTTTTCAAATACCTCACGCTCATTTTTTTAATATTATTATTACCAATGCAAAAGAAAAAAAAAAGAGCGCGAGGCATTTGAAAACCTCAGGCGGCTAGAATTAACAAAATGAAATCGTAAGCGTTAACGTTTTCCAAAGCATTTCCGTTAGGCGAATGGCCCCCAGCTCTGTATGCCAGCGCAGCGCCTCGCGTACTTAAATTATTATAAACCCTACTGTAAGGAAAACATTGTTTCACATTCAAGAATAATTTTGATGTTTGTTCAAATATCGATCGTTGATAAAAGACGTATCATCGATAAAATACGATCTATTCTTGGAGAAATGATAAAAGTTTTCGCCTGAATAGAACTTCTTAACATTTTTTGACAAATAATCGACACATTTTCTCGAGAACTTCAGTTAATGTTGAAAATTTAGGACGTGTCCTGCTAGTAAAAGATGTAAATATATCTTATTGCAGGTGGCTCCTCGATATAAATGTTTAGATTGTGGAGCCACCTTTGAATTTAAATAACTTTTGATCTCGTCGTCGCGCGTCGATTAGGTCGTTACTACAAGAACTATTGTATATCAGGAAAATAATGAACAGTAGATTTATTTACCATTTCGCCCTAAGCCCATGTGAATGTAGCGAAATGTTCAAGCCATATATTTAAATTGCTCTACACTACGTGTAGACTGTAGGTACTCGTATTTAGAGTATGTGAAGTTAGGTCTCGTAGAGTAAGACGCTTGGCTCTACATGAGCTCTGATAACTTTTTGAGAGAGCGAGTCATATGGTCTCCTCTTGGCGAAGTTTTAGATGATAATGATTTTGGTGAGATGTAATTTACTACAAAATCCCGGATTTTCCCTACAAAATCAGCTTTATTACTACTAAATGAAGGCGTTTTAAAATCAGGAGTGGATCCTCAATCCATATTTACATAGTATTTTTATTATACCGATCGAAAGGCAAATACTTTGACTTTTTTTCTAAACAAGATAGATATAGATAGATACAATAAAAAGAAGGCCAGTTATTGTAACATAGAAGATCCTTCTCTCCTTCTAGATATTCTAATTCATCAATCAATATAATGTACCTTCTTATTAAATTTAAGTTACTTACCATGTATTTAAAAAAAACAATGTACATATTATCCCTGAACTGTTGTGTATTCATATTCTGCAGTACATAGTATGACGTAATTTTCTTTTTTATTTACCTGCAACAATAGAAAACCAAATCTGTTAATTATAGTTTTATTGAAATGCCAATTTCACTCGAGTATTTTAGGAATCGTAGTATTGTAAATACAATGGCTTCCAAATGAAATAATAAGAGATTATGCACCAAGCGGATAAAGCAGTGTATTGTCACGGGGAGCATATTGAATTCTGAGCGAAATGAAGGAATCTGTTAGTTCGGGAATAGGGCTATTTGATAGTATGAAAAATAAAGTGCCAATTTTTATTATTATGTCTATTTAACATGAATGTTGGGAGCGATTATACTATTCTGACCAAAAAAATTTGTTGTTAATATTACAAAAAAACATGAAATAGAAAATCATTTTTTTAACAATTGTCATGAGACCAAAAACCCTTACGACTAAAACAAAGCTTTTGCCCGGCTACTCGGAAACGGTTTCTTGGGTACCACTCCCAGCCGAGGGTGCGCCGTGGGGTTTTTAGTGGGTACGCCTCTGGGGACTCGTCGAACGAAGTTCCGTTAGATGTATCCTCGGAGGAGAGACCTCCTACATAACCTCGCCACTCGTCAGGCGGCGGGGTATGCGTCATGCATTTCCCCCACACAGATTTTAGTAAATATTTTGCTGATCTGCCATGCAGCAACCGGAGCGGCCTTGTATTGGCCTTGGCAATACGAGTAGGGTTGCCATTAAAAATCCTGACAATGACCTATCCAGAGTTAATAGTAACCTTAATTGCGAGGTCCTGTTTGGATGAATAGATCTTTGAAAACTGTTACCCAACTGTTAACAATGCAGGATAAAAGATTTAAGATAGTAAAAAAACCGTAAGCCAGACAGGAGGAAAAATTACGCGAACTTATCTGGCACCGAAATCTATCTCCCACGTAACTTAAATAAAACCGTGCTGAAAACTTCTGAATGTCCTAAATTGCCAAGTTCGACGATTATTCTGTAAGTTGGCGCGTTATTCTCTGCATTGGACAACCCGGTCTTCGGTGCGAAGCTTATATAAAAATGTCTCGAAAGTCTGGGTCTGTCCGGACACAGTAAAAGTATAAGCTAAATACCTTATATCGCGTCGACACGACCGTCAACTATTTCGTTGCGTATTGTGTGTAGTTGTGTATTCAATGAAAAAGTTGTAACTCGTGGTCTTTTCACACCCCATCGGGCTACACAAGAAATAAAAAATCCGGAAACTTGGAGACAAGAAATTGGAGAAGGCGAAGGCGCTTCCAGGTCAATGAGGAGTATTGCACCGTGCACGACGTTCAGTTTTAACAACAATCGAGGTTCTGAATGGATTTACAGAATATTTCAGGGTCATGAATTAGTCGTAACAATATAAAACCTGTTTAATTTAATAAGTTTAATAAAGGTACATACATCTGGAGGTAATTAAATTGAAGCAACATATTTGTACTTTGTAAAATAAAACAACATGCTCTGAATCTCTTTCGTTTATTTATTTTTTGTAGTAATTGTAGTAATTAATCATCGTCATCACTTTATTTTGTTTTTCAGATGCTTAAGAAATATTCTTATACATTAAAAACTATCTTTTTTGATGAGCATTGTTCAACACGACGCTACGTGCCGTTGAGCACTGGCAGCTTGAGTAACGAACTCATCCAGGGCTCACTTTGAATTGCATCTTTTTCGTGCGTGTACTAGACTTCTAGGCTTTATGATTTTAAGTGTAGGATATTCTCGTGGTGTGGAGATTGGGATGGATGCAGTAGGATTTGAAAATGCTTGGCATGAGGATGGAATCAACAATGGATTGAGTGCTTGGTGTGGAGACGGGGACGTGGAACGGCTTGGAGATGACAGCGGTATGGATGGATTTGGTGATGGACTCTTTACTTGATGGAGCGTGGACAGGGATGTGAAACGGCCTGGAGGTGACTCGTCTGTGGAGGGATTTACTGATGGAATGAGTAATTGATGGTATGGTTGAGATGTAGAAAATTGAGGTACTCCAGACTGTTGCTCAAGACGATCTGCCATACATGTACGAGATACTAAATTGTGAATATCATTCATTAACATATCACACGTGTTTGGATTACTAATTTTTTGTAGTTTACTCGCGATCAGTCTTCCGAACATCTCATATTCATTATCTTTCTTCCCTTTCATGTATTCAAAAGCTTCGTCCATTTGACGTCGTGCTGATCTGATTTCTAGAGGCAAATCGTCTCTCTGTTGTCTCTTTCCAACACGATCTTTATTTTCTCTTGGACGAGTTGTATTCTGCCTTTTTACATTTTGTGGAGCTTCTTCTATTTCTGAAGACGAATGAGGACTATTCTCATTTCCATCATTTTTTCCCTCACTTCTTTCTTGGGCCTCACTGTAGTCGTTTATCTGAAAGAAAATTAAAAGAATATATTTTTAAATAAACTTCACAGACGGACCAGAGTGACAGGAATAGGTTACATTGAACAGCTTGCGCGGTTGTCGATCCCACTCAAGCCAGACTTCACTGTTTTCCGTTTTTTCTTTTGTAAAAATTTAAAAAAATATTGATACCAATCCTCTTAGTACTGACTACATTGAAATAATGACTGGCTATTTATTTATTATGTACTTACCTCTGTACTTGATGTGCGGTTACTTTCATATACCTCTCGCAGGAAACTGTCCATGGTTTCGTATGCAAACCAATTAGTTGTGTACACGTCATCATCGCTAGCTCCGGACTTCAAAGACTTTTTAAACTTATGTAAATGTGTTCTATAATAGCCAATTAGGCTTTCCTTCTTCTTTTTAAGTTCTTCGGTGCTAACTTTAAATGGTAATAATTTTATTATTCTTTGCCAAGCGTTATTTTGAGCTGTGCGATTCTTGAAATTTTTTATTCTTTGATCCCATAAACATGGCTCTGTTTCCAGAAGTTGGAGAAACGTAATTACATTCTCGTTAGTCCACTCCAAAGGCATAGTAATTACGATTAAACACAAACAGACACGTGCGATTCCGTCCCGATCCTGGTGCACACTGAACTGAGTACACGTAGTGTGTGTGGCCGCTTCAACGCGTTAAATCTCCCGTTAATCTCTTTGATGTACCGCTACTTGATCGATCGCCTAACGTTAAACGGCAATGCGAATGCCGTTCTTTAATTGTCGCCTTGAGTCGTGGATATACCCTACGACGGCAATTCCCGTTAGTATGGAACAGCATAATACGCGGTGTGTTGTACAAAGTACAAGTCAGCTTTTGTGATTTAATTTCTAGGCGAAATTGACAGGACGCCATTGACAGATCTAATTTAGTAAATTTTTGAAATGCAAGACGGCTGATAGTGCGTTTTATTGGCATTGAATAGGTACGTTCGCATACGTAACATCCTCCTTTTTGAAGTCAATGAAGAGATGAGAGAATATGTTTAATTAACCCCAAGATATTTTGATAGATATTACATGATGCGCAGCTTGCCAATGTTGGACACAAAATTCTTTTTCAATGATTTAAAAAAGACATGCAAAATGAAAAATAGCAATTTAACACACTTAGCCATCAATTTCAATACTGCGTTTATTATAATATTTTAGCACTCATATTACTGGAAAATCAGAAATGGATTTCGTTTGTGTCTGGCTTAGAATAATAAAGTTATAATTTTTATTATTTTAAAGCATGTAACTGCTTGATGTTTAAATATGCTTTAAAATAATAAAAATTATAACTATAATTGCTATTTCTTCTTTCAAATGTTTAATACTTGTAAAAGTATTCATTTGACATTGTGGGTTACCTATAATGCGAAGAGATGGCGCTGCCTTGCAGCTTAAGAATGGCTAGAAGAATTTCGACGCGGTCCGTGAGGGCCGCGGTAGCATAATTGGTCAGTGCATTCGCCCGGATTGCGAAGGGTGCGGGTTCAAGTCCCGTCTGCTGCCTGGTCCGCGTGGAATTTTTTCTAGTTATATTTTCTTTAAATAATAAAGTTATTATTCTAGCCCGATTTTTTCATTGTCCTTACTCAACTCACTGTAAATTTTCGCCCGCTACGACATGTTCGAAATGCTTCCTTAAGTAAAAAAAATCGAATTCTAATGAATATCTTTTTTAAATACATTATCGGAAACATGAAATTAACGCGTTCAACCAAACAAAGAAACTCATCAGCATTATGTTATTAGTATCTATATATATTATTTTATGCTATGCTGGACGCGGAGATGGACGGAATACTGTTTTACGAAGTATCCCCAGTAGATAGTAAAATCCTATCAAAGGACAGGATATATTCGGGAACTATTGAGTTGAGCAACCAATACATTAGTTTCTGAACAACTTTAGACCCAAGCGATGATAAATTTGTCACTTTTGAGATGTGTGGCTGTAAAAATTATAACAGAACACTGATGTATGTCTGTTCTTTATTTTGTAACAAAAGGCAGCTGTTTACAATAAATTAATCGTAAAGACTTGGGGAAACGTAGAAAACTAAGTAGCGGCCCTTTCGGACGTAAAAACAAACTGGCTTTTTCTATGTATATCGTCAAAGTTTGACAATGAAGATACGTTACCGAGCTGTCAAAAATTCCTGCTTTGGCCTCAGTATAAGCACGGGACGGGTGCGGTGCGAGGCATAGCGGCGCCGCGGCGGCGGCAGTGCGGCGTTGCCAAGTCGCTTTCTACCTAGAAGTGCGGCTCCGCTGCGGCGCCGGACCGGCAACGCCACGTCATTGCCATTGCGGTTCGACCGCCCGATCGTTGCAGCTGTGTTTAGTATTGTCAATATCGTGCGCGTGATCATCAAATATTTACGCACGCACCGATGGATTCGCAAAACATCGACTCGGAGGATTTTATTAATGAAGTGAGGAAGCATCCCGAAATATGGGACATAAACTGTGACGACTACAGGTATCCTAAGAGGAGACAGCGGGCGTGGGCCAAAGTGGCCAGCGCGTTCTTAGTAAATTTTGAATACATGCCGAGCAGTGAGAAAACCATTATTCGTAAGTTTATTTTTCTTACAAAGCCAAAGGTCCAGTTAAATAACCGCTAATGTCATTTCGGCATGCGAGTGCGTGCACTTTTACATTACAATCTGCTATCAATACCTCATTTGTGTTCTGAGCTCGACTTCTGTGGTATAACAAGGGGATCGGTTAATCTATAAATCGTGAAACAAAGGTAAAAACGTTTCCGAGACCGTAATTTATGAGCGACTGCTTTGTACACACACGCATTTCTTATGGTTAAATATTAATATAGCAATTTACGTAACTAATGGCTTGTGATTAATGTAAATATAACCGACTCGTTAAGGTCACATGAATCATCATCAAAGATGACGTATAGCCAGTTAAGTACACAAATACATTATTAATAAGTTCGAAAGTGGATCGATGCGCGACAACTTAATGTTATTCTAATTTACATTAAACTGTTTTTCAGAAAAGAGGCTAAACGACAAATGGCGGAATATCAGAGACTCGTACGTAAAATCGAAGAGGATAAACCAAAAGAAATTATATATGTATTCAGCCTATTTGTATTTTCTCGACGATATCTACAAGGACGGCGAGGACACTGGCAACGAGGAAACGCCAAAGATAAAAATGATAAAAAAAGAAAAGCGCCATTACGATGATTCGAACGAAGCGTGGCCTAGCGACGATTCAAATTTGGAATCGAAAAGGAAGAAAATAGACAGCAGCATGGAATTCGTGGACTTCCCGGAGATGGCGCTACCGTGCAGTACGGTCTTGGCAGAGGACGACGATGACCATTCCTTTTTCAATTGTTTATTACCCGCCGTGAGACAGTTCAGTATGGATCAGAAATTAGAATTTCGCAGTGAAGTTATTGACATAATAAAAAAGATTAGAGCTGCTGACACTGCGAGTTAATACTCCTAAAAAATATGAATCAAAATTCTATTTTTGCATTTACGGGTAGGTACTTACGTTATTGTAAGACAGACAATAAAAATAATAGAAGAAGAAGACAATTATAACGAAAAGACTGTAATTTCTAATTATATTTTATAGTACATATTATAACATTATATTTGAATCAAAACTGATTAAAATTGTCAGAGGATAATGTTTAAATTAAGCAAAATAATAAACATGACATTGCCCAGCTGATTTGATACTTTTATTAATAAATTCCGTGTATCCTTCTTTCTAATTTAGTTATTTAATTAGTTGTTAAAATAAAATAGTAACTGTATATTTGTTCCGTTTTCATTGAGACATCATGAATCGCTGAAACAAATTAGTTGAATTTTGGCATAAGGCCCACATTTTGGGTAGCTAGGTAAGTAAGTACTGAAAAAGAGTTTTCATGAGAGATAATAATCTGTCGCGAAAAATAATCATGAAAATAACATGTAAAGAAAACATCTTGAAACATATAATAAATAAAATACAAGCGTAAGTCAGTATGCCTTGGGGACCCATTATCATTATATTACTTTATGTTTATCTTATATTATAATAAGAATACGAAATCACCAAACATTCAAGCATTTCTTCATACTTATTCACCAGGGCATAATTATTATAGGTACATGTTTATTTACCAAAGGTATTCCTTGATTTATTACAATTTAAGTAGCAAACCAATTATCATAGTACCTACAGTAAATGAAAAGTATAAAAACACAACTGCCGTTACAAAAAATACTAAAAAGTAAAAAAAAAAATATACCCACTTATATAAAAAATTCAAACCCTTAAAGGTATATCCTACAAAACCGAAAATGGAATTACAGAGTAATATCCGGTTCACACGAAATCGGGCGGGTCCTAGTATGGTTTGGATTTGGAAGTCGGGCGGGCCAAGTTTGAAACATGGAATGGATTGGATTTCTAGTCAGTACCTATACGTGTTACAATCTTGACCCAGCTCGACTCCTACTAGACCCCGCCCGATAGGTTCTATGAAAAGTCTTACCGATTTTATTTTCTATTTCATATTAATTTAACTGAAGAAGATTCTGGTTCTAATTCCAAACAAACTTCAAAAAACACTTGACCGCAAATAAATCGGGTCATCCGTTAGTACTTCTGACCTCCGATCAATTTTCTCAAAAAGTATAAAACTTACAACTACTTACCTACAGAGAGTGAGTTTCATAATTTTCTTTTTAAGAAAATCAAATCCGAGTTCCGATGTAGCAAGTGTCGTCTTCGAAAGGATTCTAACGATACCGTATACATCTAAATCGGCTCAAGCGTTTAAAAGTGTCTCAATCCGATACGGGCCCACAACAAAGTGCATCCGTCTTCCAACCGCTTAAGCTGTAGTATTTACTAATACCGGCCATACACACTACGAGAAATCGTTACGATCAGACTGTACAGTTCGAACGGAACAGTTTATCGTACATGGCGTACGTATAGAAAACTGTGCAGTTTTATAACATACACGCTACGATTTATCGGTATCGTTCGAACTGTACAGTCTGATCGTAACGATTTCTCGTAGTGTGTATGGCTACCATAAGGCAGCGCTGCATCATCCCCTTCTCAGAGGTTGATCGCGTCAGACGAAGCTATAAGACCTTTATGGCAATAGGCAGCATCTTCCCACGGGTGTATTTTAATCAGCAAGTCTGTCATAACCCTACAGCCGTCTGTAGTCAGGAGGAAAAACAAGCATTTAGAAGTTATGTTGGAATAAAGAAATGAACCCCGAAAACATTACACTCTTTTTTTGGACAGTCTTATCAAAAAGAGGAACCCATAAATTGCATTGCAATCTTAAAAACATCGATACTTGACCAATCTAGCATTGTTTACACCGTTAATTAGGTATAGGTTTACTGTGCTTGTGTGTTGTATCAGCTACTAACAACTAGAGCAGTAGTTAGTAACTGATACGTCAGAGAGTTGCAAAGAAACCAAATGGTATACCACCTAGAAACAGCAACAAGTAATAAAGTACAAGCGGCGGTCTTGGTTACTTACATACAAATAATATCTAAATAACGTTGAACGGAGCGGCAACGCTGCGGGGAAAGTAGCGAGTTGGCAACGCCGCGCGCGCGATCGATAGAGCGCGGGACGAGCGCGCGGGGAGGGGACTGACCCTTCCGACTACAGACTACACTAGACATGGGCGTTTTTGGTTTTGAACGCAAACGGATATTTATCGGATTTCAGATTTCAAAATCGATTTTAAAATCCGTTTTTAGATATCCGATTTCAGATGTGCCGAACTAAGCCAATTCACTAGTTTGTGATATGATTTGGTTTTATTAGCTAACGACAATCACAAACAATTAATTGTACGAAGCAAGGATACTCGTAGATTTGCGCGATTTTCCTTTATGCTTTAAATCTAGGCTTAGGCAAGAGTATATATTCTGTGGCTTAGGACTAGCAGAAAAGTTATCTTTACGGTTAAGAGTAAAACTTTTGCGGCGCATTTAAAAATCGGCTTATGTTAAATGATTTCTTTTTACATATTTTTTTTAGTATTTTTTTTGGTTTTTCTGTTTGTTTTTATTATTTTTCAAACCATTTAAAAAATCAAACCTAATTACTTCAGGTTAGCGTTCAAAAAAATGTCAGTTGCTCGACTTTTGATGTTTTTAGACATCTTTTTTCAGTAATAAATAATCCCGCCTTAGAGAAGAACAATAGATTTCCGTAAACAGCAAACCGAAATCGGACTTCCGAGCACGAAATCTGACTTCCGAAAACGAAAGCACGAATTTCGAATCCGATTTACATTTGGATACTTGTGGTGGTATTAGATCGCTAGCGTTTTGGTTCGGTTAGATTTCTGAAATCGGATTTTCTTGTTGAGAAATCGTTCGGTATCGATTTGTGTTTGAAATCGGATTTTGGATTCGTTTTGATATATCGGACGCATGCCTAGACTACACATACCTAGCGAAATGTTATTATTATTGTAGTCATGCATGTATTGAGAACACGTGTTGACTTGACATATATGTACTTGATAATATGCAACTTGTATGGCGGTCTTACGTCTTAAACAGGTTGCGAGACGATGGGAGCAGAATGCGGGCCGCTTGCTGTAAAAAGCGAAGTCAATGCCTGCCTGCGCAGCTGCAATGATGCTGAGCTAGAATGGACGAATGGTAGATACCTAGGTATAACCTAGACACATACGTTGTTGCTAGAAACTTCATTGCGAGATTGCTTGCATTTCGCCGGTCTTAATACTTTTTATTCTGATTCTGACAGATAAATTAATGACATTGTTCCGACAGCCAAAGCTAATGCCACACTCGGAAACAATAGTGACTGCAGTCGCAAATTACCAGCCTGCAGCTAATGGATCAAGTACCTTAACTGGAATAACAAAATCCTTCGTCTGTGATACAACTGTTGCCGAAGATTTTCGTTCACGTGATAGTAAACATGCATTTAACGAATAAAATTCACTATTTCGTCCATTATTTTGTATTACTCTGTGCCACCATACTAATAGCATATAACAACAGCCCGTCCACATGTGGCAATGTTTGAAGAAATCGTTAACTTGCCGATGTTGTTAGGCAGAGCGTACACCAATGAAAATCAAAGTTGTAATTGATTTCAGAATTACACGCGCACAGCTGTTCCATGGATTCACTTAATTAACGGTACTTATTAATAAACTTACAACTTTGTTATTTTTAAATATTCTCAGCTATAAACAAATTGTTTACGATCGGCGTTAACACCGATAGGTACTTATTATTGACAGGAAACAAAAACAGATCCTTGACCTTGACTTAAAAACAGCTTCTTAACTAATTAACGGGTTATGTAAAATAACAGTGTTCCTCCAAACTTAGGGCTGGAACCGGTAGAACAATTTTTTTGTGTATCAAAAAATTATGGAACTATTAAAATAGACAGTGAATTCAGTTGAGTCGACGTGCAATTTCCAACTTTATTGTTGTAAAATTTTTGAAACATAGTGATACCAGAGTATTATTTGCGTGTTGCCTGCCGTCTGACTTAATTACTTACACACAGCAGGAAGGCAGAATAACACCAAAGGTTAATGTTATTTGGCAGCTCTTTTCTGACTGAACTTGATTTGTTAAACTAAAGTTCGCGGTTCATTGCTTATCGAGTGAAATTTCATTAAATGTTGGTAGTTAATCTCTCCTCTCTCAAAAATTTGAGTAAATTTTAGTAACTGAAACGAATGATTGCATTTTCTCTCTTCTACTTCGTAGCGGAATCACATTTTTACCTACATAAATCGGTAATGTGTAATTTATTTCATGCAATTTTTATGACATAGAATTTTATTAATTTTATTGATAAGTAAGATTTTTGATGAGTTTTAAATTTATATTTATTTATTAAAAAAAATAAACAAGCTCTTTAAAGCACATTGTTATGCCCTAGCCGGGTTCATTCAAGGATCTCAATGAACGCTTTGTAATACCTCTGTACACCTACATGAAAAAGCAATAAATATGATTATGAAATATGATTATAACTAGGAAGACATCACGAACACCAAATCCGAGACAGGAAAAAGCTTCGCACGAAGTACGGTTTTCATCTTTCGCTCTAAATTCAGGAAGAAAAGAATCATTCACAGAACACAGAAACTGATTAGAAGGGCCTTGTGGGCAGGTCAGGCGTGCCCAGTGCTGCCATATCTACCAACTTTTTGGTAGATCTACCAATTTTCACTTCAGTCTACCTATCTACCACCCTAGACCTAAAAACTACCTGTTTTTTAATTAGTTTGACATATCACTACTTTGAATTATTTTTATATCGAGCGACGTAGCGATGTATTGCGTGAGCCATGTAACGATGCGTCAAGCATACATAGACTCCAGGCCATAAACCACAAAAAAAAAAGCAACAGTTCGCCATGAGTTCGGCGTTCGCACACTTTCGCGCCCATATTTTACTATTCCTACTGTGGCCTATTCCCGGTTGGTTTGTTGCGGAATCAATGTTGAATCTTTGCTCCTGTTTTATTGTAAAAACTAATTAACTGCGTATTAATTGTGCTGATTGCTGTTTGT